TGTGGACCCGGAGCCTCCGGGGTTCCTGCGTCTCTCCTGGAGCCTCTCAAAGCAGGTCCGAATGTGCCTCTGCAGCTCCCGGGCCGACCTGGGGGGCGTGTGTCAAAGGTCAACGTTTATATCAGAACTCAGCGCTGGGCTGAAGTGGTGGACGTTCAGAACCACAGGTCTGATTGGTTCTGTGAACAGAACCTGTGCAGCTTCTGTTTGGCCACTGGGTGTCTCTAGTTCCATAAGATCCAGATCAGAGACTCGTGAGACCTTCAGGTCCTCCTGAGTCCCTCTAATAGTTCCATTATTAGTCTAATAGTGTAGTCCCTCTGTGCCGCTGCATGTTGGAGCAGCTCTCTTACTTTTACTCTGAGTTGTTGCTTTTGGAAACTGTAATTCTTCTTTTTCTGGATGTAAATCTCATTTTTCAGATGATTACTTCCTCTGGTGTCAGACGCTGTGCAGCTGGAAGGATTTTACTGAAACCTTTTTACTTTTGGGCATTTGTTATGATGCGTAACCATGGCAACAAGGCGTTTAACAACCAGGAGCAGCTGATCAACATCTCAAAAGCTGAAATACATCAACTACAGCATCAAATCCCAAATGAGTCGAAAAGGAGGCTCCGTGGACAAATTCCTGTCAACCTGACGGCGGTGCTCGAGTGCCTGACCGCCGAGACCCTGGAGCTGGTGGGAAACTCTGCTCGTGACATCAGGAGGACCGGGATCATCCCCCGGCACCTTCAGCTGCGACGAGGAGCTCAGCAGACTGCTGGGAGGAGAGACCATCGCTCAGGGAGGAGTTCTGTCCAGCATTCGGTCAGTCCTGCTGCCCAGGAGGACCGACAGGCCCGCCGGATCTGGGTGGACGGATCGGTATCTGAGCCAGATCCTTCTGATTCGCTGCAGGAGATCCTTCCTGCCCACAGCTACCAGCATCTAACAACTCTTGAATAAAGCCAGGATGATGAGCTACGACAACACTTAATGTCCCTCTGGCATTAATGAAGTTTTTTGAATTGAATTAACCGGGTCGGTCCGACCTGAAGACGCCCGCCGTCTGTCAGCCCAACTTGTCATTAACAGAGAGAGATACTTTAAGAGATATTTTGCTAACACAAACGTTATGGCCCGCCTTCATCTCTCAGCGGCAGGCGATAATGACCAGAGGGGAGGGGGCGGAGTTTCAGGACATCAAGACTTCCTGTTTACCTGTCTTCTTCACTTCCTGTCATGAAGCCAACGATCTGCTCCTGTAGCTCGGTTCTGATGCCGTTTGGGTCATCCTGGAATAGAGTGAAAGAGGTCAGACCGTCACCGACTACAACCTGGAACCATCCAGTTGTTTGTCCCAAACTGGGACACATCTGGACATCTGCTGTCCCCCGCCAATCTGCAGGTCTACCTGAGGACGTCTCTGTCCCCCCCGTGTCCTCTTCAGGTGGGTCTCCGGTGCTGGTCGGGTGTGTGCACGCTCCTTTGGGGGTGCCTTTTGGACTCTGCAGAAGAGACAGACAGCGGGTCACCGAGGTCCTTCTGGACCGGGTCTGAGCCTGTGTTGGGTCCAGTCCAGGTGATGAGGAGAGCAGAACTCACCTGATCCTGCTCTGGTCCAACTGAGCCCGTTTGTCTCTCAGCTCCTT